GTCAATAATAGAAACTTTCAGTTTATGTCTGTGGGAAAGTCGGTATTTGACAAAAGAACAATATAAAAGGTAAAAGCTGATAGCTGCAATCTTTTCTTTCACAATTTCTTCAAAATATTTGCATGGTAAATGCCCAAGAAAACAAAACAGATTAATTTACGACATGTGGCCAAAAACATCAAGAACAAAATTATTAAATTGGACACTCTAAGTTCAAGTCACTTTTATGGTGTATGACCGCCAAAAATGNGTTCTAAATTGCAGTTTTGCTGTTTCGCGGGTACTTTTTGGCTGCCCCTCACCCCTACCCCATAAGGATCTTTTACACTCGTCCCAGCTTTCTCTCAACCTTACAAAAATGGCGCTCAACGATTGATTGCTCCAACAACGAACGCTTTAGCATAACTTTCTTTTGTCTTTTGGTGCGGGTTATCTGCCAGTGCAGGTAATCTGCTGAATCTTTTTTCTCATTTTGGCAAAAAACGACCGGTGCGGGTAATCTGCCGGAAATTACGGTATATTTTGTTTTAATATTTTGGTTTTGAACAAGAATTTCAAAGGTGAGAAAAAAGGAAAACAAGGAATAGAAGGCAGGATTTGTTATAAACTCAAGAGTTATTTCTTTTGAAGAAGTAATTGATGTAACATTCAATTAATTCGCGTTTACATCGTGTGAAACAATCAGTAATTTCATTTCAAAGTATGGTCTCGTAAGGAGCTCTTTCAATGGAGAAAGTGTTACAAGAAATCCGAATTTCTAGACTTACCACTCTCTGTTTGGATTTGTGAGATAATTATAATGCCTGTAACACAATTCACTTTTTAGTGCATTACAAGTTATTGTTTTGTAACCTATGTGTTTTAGTCTCATCGAAATATTTAGAACAGTAGATTCTGTTCATTCTTGTCAAGCTATTTTACAATCAAGGCTGTTTCTATTTGCGCTAAAAAATATTAGTTCTATTTGCTGGGCACTTGTGTTGAGAGTCAAATTTCACTGTTGTCCAAAGAAAACGCTTGTTCAGCTATTCTCTATTTTCACTTTTAATGGAACAACATTACTTTTTCTTTAATTACTATGTGAAAGATGAAGAATTATTGCATTGTAGGTAAAGGGAAATGGTATTGGTATCATTTGCTGGTTTGGTTCTTCCCAATTCTGGCGAACAGATCATACGGCAGTGCACGTGGGACAAAGCAAAGAAAATAGAGACAATGCAAAGGCCTTTTGAATCAGTATGGGCGCAAAGTGACAAGGCACACTACAACGAAAACCAGCGATAGCAATATATTACTTCTCTGGCAAAAAAAAAGGACAGCGACATTTGGTTACACCTTTTTAAGCTACATAAGTTCACTAACTAAAATTTGCTGTAACACTTGAATGGTCTGAGTGTCATGTGGTACCATAACTTTACAAATAAAAATAGCCCTTGATAAGCTTGTTTCAATGAAAGAATTGTTGAAAAGCACAATCTTTCCATTGTTATCGCAATCAATCGCTAGTAAACGGGTGCGAAAGCTTAGATGTTGATTTATTTCACATGTGAACAAATTCATGCTTACATATGTATCACTTTCGCTGTGCTGTTGATAAAATAAAACAGATTCACAGTTGAAATGGTTTCATTTGTGCGATTATTGTACTATTGTGAAAGAAACAGTTTTAACAATCGTGCTTCTACGATCAGACAATCCTGTGTTTTCTAGTAATAACTAATTCATGAGCAATACTTACCTCTCCCGGAATTCACTGTAACTTGCCTTGTTTACAAACACCAACGGCACGACAAATGTCTTGACAATTAGGCTGTATACCTCACGTTACATAATCGCCATCCATAAAAGGAAGATGGGGGGCTGGTTTTAATTGACAGCTCATATTCACAAGCCGAACATACTATACAGCAATTGAATACATTTTAATTCATTTTTCAAAGAGTACCAACTGTTGAATTCAAGTTAAAGATGCTTATTGGGCCAGGTTCTTAATGCTTCCCCGTTTCCCACATTGGGTGGAGGCTTCTGTACTGCCATTTTGCAGTGACGCTTTGTCAGGTAGTTGTAGTCTGCACTAATGAGTCTGCTATCAAGCAACTATTGATGAACCGTGTTGCTAAAACTTGTTCTCTGTGTTGACTTTTTGCCTTCTTGAGAATCTGTGCTTCTGTCCTTGGCCGTGCACAAAAATTGAATGCAGAATTGCAGAGGAAATTGGGTGAACTTCTAAAATTTAGCACAGGTGAGTGCAAAATAATAATAGAACTGCTTCGGTTGTTGTTATTATTAAGCTAATGGCCATTTCGAAAACCCATCCTTTAGCCTACAGGTGAATTCAGCTTTACAATCTGAGATTTCTCGCCAATCCTGAAATCTAAATAAAATGTAAAATTTTAGTTCCAAATTCTTGACACCTCTGTTTCAGCCAAACACGCTAAAGAGAAAGACTAGTATAAAGCGTGACTATCTGTGAATCGACGTGAAGGCAGATCGAATAATCCTACAAGCGATAAACTACCTCTTTCCTGCGTTTGGTAAGCTTGGATTTACTAAGTTTTGAATTTTCTCAGCAGATTAGTAAAATACCAAAAGCTATTTCAATGTGGGGAGGCCTTCAACAACAAGCATGTTGTAGAACATTCATAACTTATACATTGTTGAGGAAAAGATTTCTATCTTGGCTCAACTGTCTTGGTTCAGCTGCTAAAATGCTGTTTTTGCTACATCTTTCCAGAGGTCAGTTATGACCAATTGCGAATGTACACATGGTTTATTTCATTGGTAAAAATTCCTTGCTCTCTCTGAGATTAGACCTGTTGTATAATTGCGATGATTTCAATAACTTGCAAACGCACAGCGCATCCATAACAGAGATTGATTTGCACATAATATCCTTGGTTTAAGACCCCTGCACATAAGATCCTACAAAGGCTAAAATTTTAGGTTATGTTCGTATCAGTGGAGTTACTGAAAAAAGTGTACAGGTGGTAACTGGATGCTGAATTAAATTGACCATCTGCTTATATTTAGAATTAACTTGGCATAAAATGTCTTTTGTTTCAAGCTAAAGTAACGTGTTGTATGAATATTGTGTTCCCCCTTTCCAATATGATTTGTATTGTATTATATAAACAATAGCATTCATTTGATGCAAAAAAATCAAACTGATAGTGCAGGCCTAAGATTTACTTTGTTCCAGCTTAATCCTACAGTACTATGATCTCTTAAAGGGGCCCTTAGAGTTTTGATTTTGTGACTTTGTCATGGAGGAAGAACTTATAAGTTTTTCATAAAATGGATTACTTATTCAATATAGCAATGATAGTGCACTTCGACAGGCTTTTTCCAAAAAGATATATTGAGCAATTTTCATTCAGTGTTATTGCTTAGTTAGGTAGTGCCTAGGGTGCTGGGTTTTAATAAACTATAGTCCTTGTAAAATGTTAAATATATTCCGTATTTCAATTCTTCCAGACAAAATTAGAAATTCAATCTCAATCACACTTGTAATCCATGCTAAAAAGAGAAGGTGAAATCTGTACCCTGAATTTATGTCATAGTTGCTAAATGTCAAGTCAGCCTCTTCAAGTCACGATCCTGTAAGGTTCTCTTCATGCCCTGTTAGAGTAAAAACTTGGATGAACAAGGTAAATACCTTCATTAGTGTACTTCTTGATATTTCACTTCTCTGCCTAAAGCATGTCAATTATTTATGTGCTGCTTTGTCTCAAAGGGAACTTTGAAACCAGTTTTTTTCTGTGGATACAAAATAAATGCCAATATATCATTTCCCTTTTAATTAGACAGAACAACATTCACTGTAACCACATTGGCACAGTGTTTTTGTTTCTTCAACAACAGTCTCTACTTTATTTTCACAATGCCACTCTCCACCCCTGTGTGTCAATTGGTTACATGCAAAGGTGATGCTGGGAATGACCTCTACATGCACTAGTATCTCATCCTCGTGGAATACATGTACGCTTACTCCTATTGTAGTCCCTTTATGGGACTGAAATTGAACTAAGCTGTATATAAATAATGTGCCTTACATTTCTCATAGTTAAGTGCATTTATTGTCTTGGTTCAAGCCTACCTGTCTGTCTTTTAGTAGTGTGATATGTGAGGTAGCAATTGTAAACCTTTGGAGATGATATCAGGGTTGGTTATTTTGCTGTCATGCATTGAGACATCCATGCGATGAGCTTTAATGCATCCACAGGTGGCCAAAAGTTTTTTGTGTCATTACCGGATTCCGCTCAATGACTAATGGAGTTCCAAACTTGGCAAGGAGTGCTTACATGACTGCCAGATACTATGTGTTCCAGGTTTTTAAGAACCCGAACTGTCAATTTTCAAGTATACTACCGAAACAGGTAGACCGCGAATTGAAAGATATGCATGACAGTTGATTTTGGCACTAAACGTCAACGACTTAGGTCACATGGCTTTGTTTTTCAAACCAAAAACATGAACTCACGTGGTCACATTCCTAAGAGTGCGATAGAGTGAGTCAAAGAATGGCGTTCTCTGTAAACAGCAAAGGGCGAAGTTACTACCGAGGAAAATCAATCAATGAAAGTTTGAGAGGAAGTGTTATCGACTCCATTATGGCGGAAGGCGGAGATCCAGCCTCAGGGTTCTTTCCAGGAAAGTTTTCTGATGTTGCTAACCGCTTCAGAGTGTCAACTCAATTTGTTTCAAAGTTATGGCAAAATTTGTGCGCTACGGGTGACCATTTGCCTTCAAAGAAACTATCAGGTAATCCGTCACACCTCAAGCCTGAGGACAAAGAACTGATGGAATTTCTCAAACAGGAGAAGTCTTCCCTTCCCTATAAATCGGTTAAAGATGTTCTTGAAAACTACAGTACTTTAGATGGCGGAACGTCCTTGACAGCAATCGGAAATGTTATCAGGAATAAGCTGCCAGAAGGACCTTACACTAGAAAACGACTNCCTCTTCTTTTTCCGCCACCTTTTTCCTCTCTTTTTTTACTTCTTCTTGTTTATCTGATATGAGGAGATCTAAGGGGGACATATAATGATTTGATCGTGGCCCACGATTTAGTGCATTGTTTTCGGGCAAATCGCCTGTACTAACTCGGTGCTGTTGTTTTCGAGGTGGAGATTTGAGTTTTCTCTTTGAATCTCTGTCTGTTTCGCTTCCCTCTCTCATCTGCTGACGCTTCGCGGAAATGAACTTGGGTGTTGATTTAGGTTGCCACATGATTTTTATCTTTAAACGGCAAAATGTCGTTCCTTGCACTTTGGAAGCACAACGCCAAGCATCGTGGAAGGAGTCGTTTGGGCGTATGGTTACCAACATGTTCTCATCATCCGTGTACAGTACTCATAGTTCCATGTCAGGTATAAACTGTAAACTCTCAATTTTACCTCTAATTACTTGCATGAGATCTTCAAAATTCTGTATTATACTTTCGGTGAAGATGACTTCACACCTGTCGACTCCTGGGATGCTATAAAAACTTTTAGCTGCAACATACTTGTGACCAGAGAAGGAAGAAAAGCAAAAAGGGCAACTATTGCGAATAATCGTAGAGTTCTGGAATGTGGTCACGTGAGTTCATGTTTTTGGTTTGAAAAACAAAGCCACGTGACCTAAGTCGTTGACGTTTAGCGCCAAAATCAACTNGGTGAAGATGACTTCACACCTGTCGACTCCTTCTGGGATGCTATAAAAAACTTTTAGCTGCAACATACTTCTGACCAGAGAAGGAAGAAAAGCAAAAAGGGCAACTATTGCGAATAATCGTAGAGTTCTGGAATGTGGTCACGTGAGTTCATGTTTTTGGTTTGAAAAACAAAGCCACGTGACCTAAGTCGTTGACGTTTAGCGCCAAAATCAACTGTCACGCGTATCTTTTAATTCGCAGTCTACCTGTTTCGGTAGTAATCAAAGGCTCCCTGAGCCAGCTCGTTGATGAATAGGCCAATTTGAAGTTGACTTTTGCCTCTGTAACAGAATGAGTGTTTGTGCAAAATTATTCATTTGAAAATGTATGTCACCCGTACGTTCATTCTCATGAACATCAAGTCATTTTTATGTGAAACGTTTTGCACGAGCGCTCGTTCTGAAAAAGAGGCAAGCGGCAACTCAGAAGTGGAAGTAAAGTCAGCGTATGAGCCAAGTGGCCCATCAGGCCAGCGATTATCCCGGTTTCTGTAGCATGAAGCGACTAGGAATATTTCTACAAACCCCTGGATGGGATGCTTAGTAGTCCATCGCAGGGTTGCCCTCCAACACGAAATTTTACCAGTACCTATTTATACACCTGAGTGGATCAGAGAGAGGTACTGTGA